CGAACCGGCGAGAGGAGGGGGGGGGGGGTTGTTCACACCGCAAGAAAAAAAAAGAAAAAGATCACCTCTCGAAGAACACTTTCGATCTGGCGCGCGCGCGCGCCTCGATCGTTCCAAATAGATGCACTTGTGTCAGGATCGTAAACGAATAAGAAAGGAACCACGCGTGGAATACGCTTCACCGTCGTTGATTCTTGGCTTTCTCGATCGGCGATGCTTTTTTCAATCGGCCATCGTTCACCGCAGTTTCCTGTAATTCAAATATTTGTGGTCAGACACGATGCAACGCGATACTCCAGCGTGCATACGATTTAGACGACTTTCGACCGCCGAACGGTATTAAACCGTGAGGAATCGGAGCGAATCTATTACGGTGGCGGATAAAATTACCGGTAGATAAACGGAACCTATAAATTATCGCACGAGCCACTGATATCTTAAAGATGTGAAATAAAAATACGGAATCGTGTAGGATTTATCAAAGCTGAAGATTATACGAGAGTCCTAAAGGAGCACGCGCAGACTCGCGGCACAGCGAGAATAGAACAATATACAAACGAGCGGACACACGCTGTGGCGTGTTCCGTGAAATTGACCAAGGCTAACATACCGCTAACGATCAACGAAATCCTTTCAAACCGCACGAAATCTCTGGTCGTCTTCGTGTAATTCGAACGCTCCGTAAAAAATACGTTGGCGCGAATTGATATAAAGCGATTAATACGTCACGTGTGCGCCATAAACTTGATACAAATTGGAAAACTTGTTTTACGAATCATCTTTATGAGAAAGTCCTTAGTAGTTCTTTAAACGCTCGTTCGAATTAATCAGGTTAATTCGAGTCGCTCGAATCGAAGTAACTTTACTCCGACTTTGTATTCACGCGGCACAACTTTATTCTTCGACTCGTTCGAATGCAGGCAACTTGCCTTCGAATGCAATGGAATAGCGTACACGTGAAATTGACCGTGGTTTTAGATGCCAACGTGGTAAATTAGAAATCAGATTACGTCTTTGAGATCGCTAGATTAGTAAGTTGATGAGTTGATGAATCTCGAGTCACGTTTTATAGGTGTTGTCCTTTTCCTTTTTCTTTCTTTTTTTTTCTTTCTTTTCTTCTTTTCCTCGGTAAACTTCGTTAACGAAATAATGTATCGTTACATCGAAAGATGGTTTTTGATATTTCCTTGAAAAACTACTGTCCTTTGGGTTGTGTCACGTTTAAAAATAAAGGTGGGATATATTCATCTAAACAAAGGAGACGCGGCGGGAGACGCATTTCGCGAAAAACACGCTTGCGCGTTTAATGAAGTGCTACTGGAAACATTGCCCCTTTGATCGCCCATTTGCATCGACCATGCCTTTGTGTACAAACTCGCGCCGCTCTAATATCGCCTCGCGTTAATGTACAAGTCGGAGGAGGCTTTCGCAAGAACCAGCCTTCCTCGTCTTTTGTGAATTTATCGTTTCACTTTCTCCTTATTTCCTGTCCGTGTTGGGTAGTGCGACTCGTTCTTTCGCTATAAGCATTGTCTTAAAATAACGAAAACACCGTCGACCAAACACGTTCGACGAACGATACCGGTGGTCTGGCTTGCGAGAACGATTTTTCCAACATCTTCACTGCCAACTCAAATATTATGGAACTCCTCCGTTCACCCGAACCTGCGACAAACTATTTGTATAATAGTAGTTTGCCGATTCTCTCTATTAGCAACGAAATTTCGTTTAAAGAAATTTCGCGTTCGGTGAGAATCGAGTCGGTGGAAATTCGTTTCGTTTTTACCAATGGAATTCGAATAGACGTATATCTACCATAACTTTTCTCAAGCAGAGCTCGCATTTGGATAAATAGACTCTCGATCGGTGATATTCTCGCGCTAAATGAAACTCCGTTTCATGAAATTCCCAATGCTATTCTACTAGGTACGATCTCTTTCGACTGCAGTTCACATTCCGTTAAATAAATCACTAGATAAACCTTCGTCCGAATTAACGGTATCCGGACAAGTAGAATTCTTACAGCAACGACCGTAGTACACCTTGGTCACTTTAAATCGAGTCACTTTCCCAACGATCTGTTCGAACTCGGTTCTATTCGAGACACTGATTACCTCCTATTTTTACTGTTGCGTTCGGTACGCGTTCGGTACGCGTTCGGTACGCGTTCGGTACGCGTTCCTTCGTAGCTGACACGGGAGTATCCTTTCAAGGAAATCACCTTCTCTGCAACCGTGTATCGTATGCACAGCGAGCACAGGTAGCCGCGTAACGCGACGCGCTGTCAAACGCGACTACGCGATACACCCGCGTACCCGTCAACTCTATAATAAATCATTCGCGTGGAACCCGTGCGAATCCGTGACGAGTATCGCCGCCGGACACGACCGACCGGCACCACGTGTCACCTGGCACACAAACACACGCTCGCTCGGATTTAACTTCGACTTGTATTTCGTTCTCTCTGTACCGTTGTACGAACCGTTTACCTTACCGTGTTCTTTATCGTACGGTAATTATCGTCGGCGGAGAAGCGAAATATCGGTCGGATAGAAGATAGAAGGGAAGATCGTTGCACTAGCAGCCGCGCGCGACACGTACAACAACGAGGACGCTCGCTCGGTTAACGCGTCCGGTTTTCTC